CCTTTTTTTTTAACTTCAATTATAAGCCCTACCCTCATCATCAAGCCCCCAGAGGAAAATCTGGGAACATTCGCTTCGTCTCCATCCTTTCGGTGGTGGTTGGGGCAGCGCCATGTGCGTGCCATGGCTGGCGAGTTGGGAAGGGATCAGCGTTTGGCTGCAATTTGCAGAGGAGTGGAGATATTCAGGGTTTTGAAGGTTTTCCCATTTTTTACGATGGGAACCACAAGTTTTTTTGCTGCAGATAACCCAGGGCTTGGTGGCAAAGCCAGGAATGGAGAGGGAAATCCTGTCCTCGCTTTGCGTGCACGTCTCCGGATGGCACGAGGCGCGGCCACTGGCAGCACCGGTGGCTCTGGGGGGGCCGTGTGTGCCCCCCAGCTCCGCCGCCTTCCAGCAGCTGATGCTCGTTTGCTCTTTCCCAGCTCTTTTCATCCCCTTGTATCCTCTTTCTGCAGCTCGCTGCACCCTGCAGTAGTTAAAGCAGCAGTGGAAGGAGCTTCGCAGGCGGCGAGCCAGCAGCAGACCCGTTTGGAAGCTGTTTTCCCAGGGCTGAGTGGCCACGGAGGATAAATCCTGCCCGTCCTCTGTGCAGGCAGTTTTTAGGATTTACACCTCCCGCAAACCTCATCCATGGCCCTCGATCGTGCGGGGTGGGCAGCGAGGAGCCTGGCCCCGTCCCGATTCAGGGGTACCAGCAAAACCTCCCCCTTTTCTATCCAGCACTGCCACCAAAACCACGAGCCCTTCTGTTACTAGGGGGGGGCTCAGCCCAAACAGCAACGTCGGCGCTCGGTGACTTGGGATTTCCATTTCGTGCCGCCGGCAAGGGCTGGGGTGAGTCATCGGCACTGGCGCAGGCAGACGGGAAAGGGAACGAGTGACACCGGGGCTCCCAAGCGGCACGGGTTGCGCCGGGCTTTTCAGTGAGCTTGATGCTTTGCCAGCTTGTTTCCCCCCCTTTTTAAATAGCAAGGGAGGGGGAAGAAACCCTCCAGCCCCCGCTGTGGTCAGTTGTATCGACGTTTCAGAGCGCCAAGGGACACAAATTGCTTTTTCCCCTGTTGTGAGAGGCGAGGCTGCATGGAGAGGGGTGTGGGCGCAGGGGGTTTGTGGCTGATGGCCACAAATCCTGGCTGGGCTCCGGTCCCGTTGTGCAGGGTTTTGTGTGCCCAGGGCTCCCAGCAAGGCTCCTGGGGATGGGATTTGAGGTGGGACGGGGATGACCAAGATTTTGGGAGCCTGAAATGGCCACGACTTCCCCCCTGTGCCAGTGGCGAGCTGCCTTGGCATCCCTGCGAAGCCCACTCCTGCGGTCCCCAGAGGACCAAATCCCAATTTGGGGCCGGGGAACCCCAGCTCTCATGAGCTGTTTGCTCTGTCCACGTGCAGCCGAGCCCTTTGGCCACAGGGGACGAGCGTGCCGGGGCCGTGCAGCGTGGTTGGCACCAGCCCTGGCCCCGGGAAGGGATTTTGGCACCGCGGGTGCCGGCGGGCGGGGGCCGTTTCCATACAACCTCGAACGCTGCCGGCACCGGGATCCCCCGGCTGCCGTTTGGCACCGGGGTCTGGTCCCTAACAGGATGCTGGCTGTGTGCAGATGTTGGTCCTCCCTATACGTCGCGCTGGCTATTTACAGCTCCCTGCTAGGAGACCAGCCCCTGTTTATCCTGGTGATTTGGCCAAGGCCCCGCCGAGCGCCGATGAGTCAGGAGCTGGGAGAAGCGGCTCGGCCGCATTCCCAGTGCCCCACTGCTGAGGTTCTCCCAGCCCCACATCTCCTCCCGCAGTGCCTGCCAGCCCCCCGGGATGGGGGGCAGATCCCTGGGGTGGGGACAGATCCCTGGGATGGGGACAAGTCCCTGGGATGGGGACAAATGCCTGGGATGGGGACAGCTCCCTGGGATGGGGGCAGATCCCTGGGGTGGGGACGGATCCCTGGGATGGGTGCGGATCCCTGGGGTGGGGACAGATCCCTGGGGTGGGGGCAGATCCGTGGTGTGGAGGCAGATCCCTGGAGTGGGGACAGATTCCTGGGGTGGGGAACAGATCCTTGGGGTGGGGGACAGATCCATGGGATGGGGGCAGATCCCTGGGGTGCATACAGATCCCTGGGGTGGGTGTGGATCCCTGGGGTGGGGAACAGATCCCTGGGATGAGGAACAAATCCTCGATGCCAGAGGCAGCACCGTGCACAGCAGCAAACCCAAGACGGGGGCAGAGCATTTTTTCCAGGTCCTCCCATTAACCAGATCCTTCACCAAGCTCCCTGGGCACCCCACTCTGCTCCGTGCCTCAGTTTCCCAAACCCATCAGTACAACATAAGCCTTTCCTGGCACGGCGTGCCCCCCAGCCTCGTGGCGAGGCGAGAAACCGAATTCCCCAGGGGCTTTGCAGATGTGCAGGGGATGGAGAGACGGGTGGCAGGAGCCAGCACAAACCCACGAGGTCCCCAGGGTGGGGCGCCTGCGATTCGGAGGCGGGGGAACGCCCGCTTCTCCCACTGTGCTGGGCTCCTTCCAGCAGCCGAGCAGGAGCTGCTGGGTCCGTGGGAGCTTCTGAAACGTCTCGGTGTGATTTGGCTGGGCCGGGGGAAACCGGAGGGTGTTTCCCGACGTGGGCTTAGCGGGGTTTTTGGCTCGCCACCCAGCCCGGCGCACGTGCCCAAAGCCGTTTGGTTGCCTCCTCCCGTGAGCCCCCAACGGCTCCAAAATCTCTCAAACTTTCTAGAGGGGAGCCCGGAGATGCTGGGCCAGGATTCTGGGGGAAAAGAGGCAGAGCTGTGCCTGGGCACGGGGACCACGCACCCTGGGGCCCCTTCAGCCACAGCCCGCTCCGAGGCCGGGCTCTTCCCCGTGTCTGCGTTAAGCACAGGCAGAGCAGATCCAACTTTCCATTAATGTTTGCATTTTCTGGCAGCTCGGCTGCAATTTTCTTTTTTTCTTTTTTTTTTTTTTTTTTTTTCCTCCTTCCTGCTTTTAAAGGCTAAAAATAAAACCGTCTTGAGGCCCCCTTCTCCCTCCATCTTTTTCTCCCGAGACATTTGTTTCTCGAGGATTTGCTGCCTCCGTTGCATCTTTCCACCCTGGGCTTTGATAAATGCTGCTTGTTTTTCACTGGCTTGGTTCTCCGGGCATGGGGGGGGCCCTTCGGGGTGCACCCGCGCTTCCCTTCTGCCCGGTGGAGAATTTGGGATCCTTCAGGCTGCCGCGGGCAGGATGGGGAGACCGACAGCCCCCTCCATCCCCTCTTGTCTCCCTGTTTAGGGAGGCGGGAGCGGCGCAGCTGCCGTAAGCGTTCTTATTTTTAGCCCCCCGTCAGCTGGAGCCAAAAGGCTACAGGGGAAATAGGACCCATCGGGAGGCAGCAACCATGGGGGGGCAAGGGAAACCCCAAATCCTGGCTGGGCTGGAGCAGGGGTGAGCTGGGTCCAGGGGGGAGCTCACCCAGAGGTGCCGGAGTTTTGGGGAGATGCTCAGGTCCCCCAGAGCCTCATGTGGGCCAGACTGGGCTCCGAGCTCCCCTCTCCGCTCCTCTCCAGCCTCACCCAGGATGATGGGGGGAGGTTTTCAGGACAAGTGGTTTGTTCTCGGGGTCTTCTGGGATTTACTTCGGGGCTCTCCAGGCTCCAACAGGTCCTCCCCTGAGCCCTGCAGCCCTCCTGGTCCCTCGAGAGTGCAAACCTGTTAATCATTGTGCAGACAGGAGTGAGACCATCCACTTGGCATCCTCCCCTCCCTCTTTTAATCATTGATGGTGCCGGTGGTGTCCCCTGAAGAGCTGTAGGCTGCAGGACATGCACCCGAGCAGCCCAAGCAGTGCCTGAATCAGTCCCTCAAAGGAAGAGCAAAGAGCTCCAGATGCAAAAAAAAAAACGAAGCAGAGCTCTCCGCGGAGTTAAGCAGCGATTAACTCGATCAGGGGAAGCAGGATTAAACCGTGCCAGCGGTGGCCAGCGAGCCAGCCACGCTGGCTGCGAGGGCGAGCTGCTGCCAGCTGGGAAAGCTCAGCCTCCAGGGGTGTTTGTGCTCAGCCGAGGAGGCTCGGGCTCGGCTCCCAGATGGCATTTTTCTCCTATGAGTCACTGGCATGGAAGGAGCGTGGTGGTGCGCAGGCAGAACCCCCCCCCGGCACAGCGCTTGGGCGGCCGGCCCTGGCAAACCGAGCCACAAAATGGGGAGCTGGGCTGGCTTGTGGGGCTGCTCGAGTGTGGCCGGGCTTTGAGAGGTGTAAAAGTCTCCAAATGATGTCCTGGTGGAACAGAAAAAATCCACGCAGGAAAATCCACCTTGGCTGAGAGGTGTCGGGGTCACCGGTCCCTGCTCGCCCCGCTGCGCAGGGAGGCGAACGGCTCCCCAGTGCCTGGTTTTTGGTGATCCCCGTCCTGCCAGGGCCAGATCCTGCAGCTGGGGCAGGCTCAGCGCCGTGTCTAACTTTACCCATGATCTAACGGCGTGGGTGCACGCTCGTTGCCCCAGGAATGTCCGGAGGCGCTCGCCAGCACGTGGCCGTTGCTCGCCCACCGTGGGGCCACCGCGGTGGCTCCGTCCCTCGTGCACCCCACTTGGTGGGCAGCAGGGGCTCTGCTGTCAGGAGCCGAGGGTGCAAACTTGGTGGTGTCAACACCCCCCCAGTGCCTCCATGCTGCAGCAAAAGCCCCGAACTTTTTCTTTTTATAGACCCGACCAAAATAGCGCCGGGCTGCCTTGCGCTTGGCTCGGCTCAGGTTCCCCGGCTCCGCAGCGTTGCGCCTGCTGCCTGCGAGAGCCGGCCTTGACCTTGCTGTCAGAGGGCTTGGAGTTAAGGGGAAAAAAGGGGGGGACACGGCTGGTGCCCCCCCACGGCACCGACGGCTGAGCCGGGCTCGCAGTGACCCCTAGCGGGTGCGCGCAGGGCGCGCTCCAGCCTCAACCCTGCGGTGATGCTGGGGGGCGAGCGGAGGGGCGCAGCTGTAGGGTGACCCCCCCTCCTCACCAACTCTTTTTTCGGTGCCCCGCAGCAATGCCAAGAAGGAAGGGGACCTGCTGTCCGCCCAGGCGCGCCTCAAGGACCTGGAGGCGCTGCTCAACTCCAAGGAGGCTGCGCTCTCCACCGCCCTGAGCGAGAAGAGGAACCTGGAGGCTGAAGTGAGGGACCTGAGGGCACAGGTGGCCAAGGTGAGCAGTGGTGGATCCGTCCCTGTCCCCCTTGGGGACCCCTGATGCCGTCCCCTGTGTGCTGGGGCTGTGGGGTGGAGGAGCTGGAGGCCAAGCTGGGCTGGCCCCGGGTGCGGGCAGTGACAGTTCCTCTCTTTCCACAGTTGGAAAGCGCCTGCAATGAGGCTAAGAAGCAGCTGCAGGACGAGATGCTGCGCCGGGTGGATGCCGAGAACCGGCTGCAGACGCTGAAGGAAGAGCTCGAGTTCCAGAAGAACATCTACAGCGAGGTGAGCGGCCCTGCGGGGTGTGCAGGGCGAATTCCCTGCCCGTGCCTCCCTGCAGAAGGCTGATCCAGGCAGCGTGCTCGGGGCAAGCCCCGCACGCCGCATCTCCAGCCCCTCTCCCCGAGCTGGTGCCACCCCCAGCTGACCCCGTGTCTCCTGCCCCGTCCCCAGGAGCTGCGGGAGACCAAACGCCGCCACGAGACCCGGCTGGTGGAGATCGACAACGGGAGGCAGCAGGAATTTGAGAGCAAGCTGTCCGAGGCCCTGCAGGACCTGCGGAGACAGCACGAGAACCAGATCAAGCAGTACAAGGAAGAACTGGAGAAGACCTACAGCGCGAAGGTGAGCAGCGGCCGTGCCCCTTCCCAACCCTGCCTCACGCTAAGGTTTTGCTCCGTGGCTTTTCCTCCGCCTCCCGGGGCGCCGGTGGATGGAGGGGAGCGGGGGCTTTAACCTCCTTGTGCCCCCGTCCAGCTGGAGAACGCCAAGCAGTCTGCCGAGAGGAACAGCAACATCGCAGGAGCTGCCCACGAAGAGCTGCAGCAAGTCCGCATCCGCATCGACAGCCTCTCCTCCGAAGTCAGCCACCTGCAGAAGCAGGTGAGTTGGGGACCGAGGGGCTCCCCCAGCTTGTCCCCCACCCCGGGCTGGTCCCCTCGCGTGGATGACCCCAGGCGTGGTGGCCGCCCTGACCTTCTCTCCCTGCTCAGTTGGCTGCCAAGGAGGCAAAGCTGCACGATCTGGAGGATGCCCTGTCCCGGGAGCGCGAGACCAACCGGCGCCTGCTCTCCGACAAGGACCGGGAGATGGCCGAGATGCGGGCACGCATGCAGCAGCAGCTGGACGAGTACCAGGAGCTGCTGGACATCAAACTGGCTCTGGACATGGAGATCAACGCCTACCGCAAGCTGCTGGAGGGCGAGGAGGAGAGGTGGGTGGGAATCGCTCCCCCGGGTGCCCCCAGGTAGGGCGCAGGTCCCAACCCTCGCATCCTCACGGGATCCTTCTCCCTTTTTCCTGCCCAGGTTGAGGCTGTCCCCCAGCCCGTCCTCACACAAAGGACACGGGATCCACTTCTCCGGCTCGAGCTCAGTCCAAGAAGAGGAAGCTGGAGGACAGCGAGAGCCGGACCAGCTTCTCCCACCATGCCCGGACAAGTGGACGCATCGGTGTGGAGGAGGTGGACCTGGAGGGCCGCTTCGTCCGGCTGAAGAACAAATCCAACGAGGTGGGTTCACCTCCAGGAGGGTCCAGGCTCTTCACCAGCTTTTTATCTCAGCCCCCCAGGGTGGGGAGGAGGCGGCGGGGTCTGAAGGTTGTTGTTTTTGCTGTCGCAGGACCAGGCGATAGGGAACTGGCAGATCAAGAGGCAGAACGGGGACGACCCCGTCATCACCTACCGCTTCCCCCCGAGGTTCACCTTGAAGGCTGGCCAGATGGTCACGGTGAGTCTCTCCTGACGGCTCCTGGGTGGGGTGGGGGGCAACCCACAGCCCCAGGGTCCTGAGCCCTTCGTTTTCTCCGTGCTTTTCTCCCCAGATCTGGGCCTCGGGGGCTGGGGCGACCCACAGCCCCCCCACCGACATGGTGTGGAAGAACCAGAGCAGCTGGGGCTGCGGGGACAGCCTGCGCACTGCCCTCATCAACTCCAACGGGGAGGTGAGAGCCTTGGGGGGGGGGGAGACACAAACAGATCGTTTTTGGGGTCCCTTCCAACCCGAGCTGCTCTACGATGGTCCCCTGAAATGTGGTGGGGTGCTGCAGTGGATGGCTACGAGCTCTTTAGAAGGGGAGACCTCAGTTGCTCTCTCCAACTACCCAAAAGGAAGGGGTGGGGAGCTGGGGGGGGGCCTCTTCTCGCAGATAACCAGTGCTAGGACCAGAGGGAATGGCCTCGAGTTGTGCCAGGGGGGGTTCAGGTTGGAAATGAGGAGATATTTCTGCTCAGGAAGAGCAGCCAGGATTTGGGATGGGTTGTCCGGGGAGGTGGTGGGGTCCCCGTCCCTGGGGGTGCTCAAGGAGAGGTTGGACGCGGTGTTTGGGGACGTGGTTCAGTGGTGACATTGGTGGTAGGGGGATGTTGGACCAGGTGAGCTTGGAGGTTTCTCCAACCCTAATAATTTTGGGATTCTCCCCGCTCCAGGAGGTGGCCATGCGGAAGCTGGTCCGCACCGTGATCATCAACAACGAAGACGACGACGAGGATGACGAAACCGGCCACCGCCACCACCACGTGAGTACCACGCTCGTCTCTCGTGGGGGGGTTTTGGGGCAGCCCCGCTCGGACCTGGTCGAGGTGGGGGGTGCCTCTGTCCTTCCTCGATAAAAAAAACAACTGCTGGAGGCTTCTGGATGCACTGCCTGGGAATTGCTCTGGATGGGAAGAGCCCTGCCAAGCCCAGCATCGATTATCCCTGGATGCAGAACCCAGGTGCCCCCGAGGACCCAGCTCTGCTGGGCCCCGAGTCCTTTCCAAGAACAAATTTCCTTTTGGAAAGCCATCAGAATCACACAGAATCACAGAATCACAGAATCTCTAGGTTGGAAGAGACCTCAAGATCATCGAGTCCAACCTCTGACCTAACACTAACAGTCCCCACTAAACCATATCCCTAAGTTCTACATCTAAACGTCTTTTGAAGACTTCCAGGGATGGAAGCGGGGGCTGTGCCAGGCAGTGAGGGAGAGGACGCTCTGAGCACAGGGCAAGCGTGGTGGAAACACCTCCTGCGGCACGTGGAGAGCCTGGGGCTGCGAGGAGCGGCGGGGCGGGGATCAGCACCCACCCTGTGCCGTGCGCCAGACCCAAACCCAATGATTTGGGATTTTGGGGGGATTATTTGAGAGCCTGGCACCAAACGCTGGTGCCTCTGCCATGCTCAGGGCGGGATGCTTGAGGCAGCAGGCACTCGGGCGGGCGCTCAGGACCATTTTTTCTCACTCAGGGCTGTTTTTTTTTCTGTTCCTCCCCATCCAGGGCAGCTGCGGTGACTCCGGGGACCCCGGCGAGTACAACCTGCGCTCGCGCACGGTGGTGTGCAGCAGCTGCGGTCAGCCAGCCGACAAGTCGGGCTCGCAGAACGCCGGCCTCAGCTCCATGTCCTCGGGCTCCTCCTCCAGCGTGACCGTCACCCGCAGCTACCGCAGCCTCGGAGGCTCCGGAGGTGGCAGCGGCCTCGGGGAAAACCTGGTGACCAGGTCCTACATCCTGGGCAGCTCCAGCCCTCGCCGGCAGGTCAGTGGGGTAACGGGTGCCGAGGGATCCTTGGGCATCGCGGCATCCCCGCGGTGCCGCTTGGATGCCGCCGCCTGGCGTCGCCTGGGTGGCCGCTAGCGAGCAGAGGGTGACGCCGTGGTTTCGTTTCTTTTCTTCTTTCCACTTCCTCCCAGGCTCAGGCCCCGCAAAACTGCAGCATCATGTAACTCCGTGGCACCATTCCTGTGTTTTCCTGGCCATCTCGAGCTAGTTGATTCCCAAAGCAAAAGTTTTTTTTTTTTTTCCTTAAAAAAAAAAAAAGAAGATATCAAAACCAAGGTTGAAATTTTTGTTTTCTATAGCAGGAATTTTATATATATATATATTAAAAATGCTAAAAGATGCTTTTTTTTTTTTTTTGTAAAGAAAAAAAAATCTATTTCTATAAAAAAAAGAAAAAGCTTTTCAGCTTCACAACTTTTTTTAAAACTTCAGCCAAAGACACCGACGAATCGTGTTTACCGAACAGCAATGCAGGAAGAGATCGTAGTTTAATAGCTCTCTAGCTGATGCCTTTTTTTGCCAAAGCTTTTTATATAGGACTAAGACAAGCGAAGCCAGCCCGGGTATGTGCTGGGCGCTGCGCTGCGGTGGCTGGACCGGAGCTCAGAGGTGCTGGGGCAGAGGCTGGGCCACCCACACCAGCGCTGCCGCAGTGACCCCACTACACTCCTGGGCACGTGCCTTGGAGGGCTGCTGGCTCCAGCAGAGCCCAGAGCCTTTGTAATCCCCCCCCTTTATTATTATTTTTTTTAATCCGTATCCAAATTTCCCCCACACTTTCCCTTTTTTTTTTTTTTTTTTTTTTTTTTTGGTTATTTTTCCGCTGCAACATCTCAGGGGGCTCCCGGCAGCTTGTGGGCAGCGTCCTGGCTCGCATTGGGCATTGCCACCTTGCCGACCCCCCCCCCCCGGGCACCGTTTCCACCCCCCCCCCCAAGGGTTTCTCAGCAGCCGAGCTGTGCCTTAGCCAGGAGCCTTGCCACCAACGCTAGCCCCGAGGTGGGTCCCCTGATGGCCAAGCTGCGCCCTGCTCCTGGCAGATTCGGCTGAGGGGGCAGCGGCCCCCACTCCTGGGGGGGCTCCCGGGGGGCTGGATCCAACCCCGTGCCCCATGGGGTTCAGTCCTGCCGTGTCCAGCCTGGCTCTCCTCCAGTGCAGGAGTTCAGGCGCCCGTTCCAGGGCAGGATGAGGCCAAGGATGCTCGGGCTGGGCTGTTTTGGGGAGGGGGATTTCGGGGTCTGGCACAGGCAGCTCCCCTCCCTGCAAGGCTCCAGCCAGCTACCAGCAGAGATTTCCACGTGTTGCCCCGCTGGGGGGGGGGGCAGCCCCCGGCCCCTCTGCCTCCAGCGTGGCCAGTGGGGCAGGTTCAGGCCCCCAGCAGGAGCCACCCCGCGTTCGGACCTGTGCTTGCCAAGCTTCTGTACCCGTGCCTGTATCGCCTTCTGAAATCAATACAGCAGAATCCTTCCCACCCTGTGTGCTGTTGTCATTGCCTGTCAGGAAATGGGGGGGTCCGGGGTGTGATGCTGTGGGGGGGGGGACAGCCAGGAGCCCTCCTCCCACTGCAGAGCCAGGGGGATTGAGGTTCAAGAGGCTGCGGGATCAGGGGTTGCCTCCCCCAGGGACTCTGGGGACAGATGCTCCCCTGATGTGGGGATGGAGGGGGCTGCAATTTGCTCCCCCCAACCCGGGGGGGGCCGTGCCAGGCACCGTGGCCGGGTAGGAGGGGCGCTGGGGAAAGGGGAGAGCCGCAAAGCCGGCGCGTAATCGGCTTTGCTGGACACGGGCACCGGGGAGCCGCGATGTGAGCGAGCACCGGCGGGCGGCCGGGGCGCAGGCACAGCCAGGTAGGTGCCCGGCGTGCCCACCCCCACCCTACAAGACAAACACCCCCCCCCACAACACCAGTGCGCAACCAGGGGCTTGGGCATGGGGCCTCTTGGCCGTGTCGGGGTCCCATCGCCCCCCAAAAATCGGGTGCGAGCAGGGCTGAGGACAAGGGGAGCTGATGTGGCTTTGGTGCGTGCAATTTCGTGCCAATTTGTGGGGACGCACAAGGCATCTCCGCCCCCCCCCACACACACACACAGCCCCCCAGGAGGAGGGATTGCGGTGGGGGGCTCGGGATCAGGTGCTCTCCCCGCTTTTGGGGTGGCTGGGCACATTTTGGCTCTGGTGCCAGCACCACCACGTGCCTGACCCCATGTCAGCAGGGCACCCGGCGTGCTGGCGACTCGGGGACACCCACACTGCACCCCTGGGGGGGGTGAACCCCAAAATTGGAGGTGCCTAGGAGTTGTGCTGTGTCCCACGAGGTGGGAACCCACCCAAGCCCAGCACCCCAAAAATCACGAGGCTGCGCGCTTTTGGATATGGGGTGAATCCGGACACGCTGCGGGGACCTCGTGCTCCATCCTGGCCGTGATCCCATCTGGGAGCAGTAGGAGATGTCCCGGTGCCCCCCAAAACCCCATAGAGGACCCCAGAGTCCTGTATGGGAAGGGCTGAGCTGGCGGCGTTGCTCAGTGCCCTTTGTCACCATCGGTGCCCTGGGGACCTCACGTGGCCCATGGAACCCGTGCCTGACCCCTTGGGACCGTGCACAACCCCATGGGCACCACACACTAGGGTGCTTGGGGGGGGGGGGAACCCTCAGGTATTGGGGTCCCCGGACCAAGCACCCAGCTGGGGACAGAGCCAGGACTGACCCTGATACTTGGGAGCCACCAGGGTTTGCCCACCCGGGGCTCATCTCAGCGGGTTCCTGGGGCCCCACAAGTCCCCCAGCAGCCCCGTCCAGCCCCCTGCGTGCCCGGGGGGATTAAGGTCAGGCCTCCCCGCTAATCCCATTGGGGGGGGGGGGGGTTAAGGGGGGAGCTTGCTCACGCTGCCACCCCCCAAGGGTCTCACCCCGAGGTTCTGCTGCCCAGTGCAGGGCGCATCGGGGGCAGCGTGGGGAGAGCCAGGCTGGGTTGGGGGGTACCCCACCCCGACTCCAAAGGTTTGGAGCAGCTCTGGCTCCCCGCAGCGGGCTTTCGCTAAGCCCCCCGGTGCCGGCGGGCGGGCAGGCACGAGAGACAAGCTCCTTAGGGCACCCAGGAGAAAGCTCCAAGCTCCCAAGCCCCGTGGGAAGCAGGGCAGTGGAAAAGGAGGGCGGTGGGGGGGGGAGAACAAGGGACAGGACCCCTAGATCGGCTCCCCAGCCCTAGAAGGGGGCAGAAATCCCCGTTTTGGGGTGGGCAGGGGCTGGAATTGCCGTGTGGGTTCATCCTGGCTCAATGCCTGGGGGGGGGGGGGACACACCGGCACGGGGTTTGTGGCACGCATTCGGGGTGCCCCGTTGTGCAATTTCCCCCTTCCTCCACCTCCCTGCTTGGCAGGGCTGAGCTGGGGTGGGGGGCATAAAAAAAATAATTTAAGGAAAAAAAATTGTAGGGTCACAGCCCCACAACGGGCTGGGGAAGAAATCCCCAAGGGTGGGCAGCAGCAGGGGGATCCCATGGGGGGCTCCGGGCACCCCGATACCAGGGGAAGGCTGGCCGGGGGGGACGTGGGGGCTGCATCCCTGGGGATATTTGACTGGGGGTGGTGCCACCATCCAGACCCCGGTGCTGTGGGGCAGCGGGAGCCTGAGGGGCCTGTGGGGGTCTCCAGCACCCACAGGCACCCCCCAAAAAAAATTTGGGGCTGGGATCAAGGTGGGATCAAGGACCCCATCGTCCGTGTGTCCGTGCGCGGCGGCGGGTGAGGCCGGCCGAGGGAAAAGCCGTAGCCATGGAGACGTGAGGGGGGGGGGGGGGATCCGTCAGCAGCCCCCCCACCGGGGGATGCTGCACCCGCCAGGCCCCCCCCGGCCGCCCGCTCGCCCGCGGGCGCTGCCACAGGTCGGTACCGAGGTGCTTGGGCCCCAGGGTTTGGGGAGGGGACGGGGGGGACGGGCAGGCTCCTTTTTGGGGGTGGTTTGGGGGATTTTGGGGGTGGGTTGGGTGGGGGGGGGGGGGCGCGTGAGGGATTGCTGGGGCTGGGGGCTGTCGCCATGGCGGGGCTGGGCTCTGGGGACTCCCCAGATGTCTCCGTACAAAGGGGTTGAGGTCCTGGGGCCAAGCGGGGCATTCCCGCAGCCCTCCCCTGCCACAGCCCATTTTTCTTCCTCCCCCCTCCCCTCTGCATCCCCCCCCCCTGCATCCCCCTTGTATAACCCCCCCAAAATCCCTCCTATATCCCACCACGGCCACCTCCCTTTGCGTCCCCCCCCCTTACATCCCTCCCCAGCACCCCTTGGGTTTCCCCCTTGTCCTCCCCTAACCCCCCCCCCTGCTTCCCACCACCCAATTTGCCACGGAATGGGTTAAAGTCAAACTTAATTTTGCCAGCAGGACGCAGTGGGTGTTGTGTGTGTCCCCCCCCCCACCCGTTAGGGCACGCAATGAATGTGGAGAGCGGCTGGGAGGGGACACCGAGTCCCCGCGGTGCCACCGGGGTGAAACTTGAAGGAAACAGGGAAAAATTGAACCCCCCCCCTGATGCTATGAGGCCCTGGGGGGGGGGCTTCCCACTTCCCTGTGCCAATTCCCACGTGTGTGGGGGGAGGATGGGAGTTGGGGGGGGCTGTAACAGAGCCCCCTGTGTGCACCAAAACTTTAGTTTGGGAGATCCGGAGGGGAAACGGTGCTGGGCCAGGGTTTGGCTCCCAGTAAGGCTCCAGTAGCCTAACTGGGGAGGCTCTGTGGGGGCTCCCCAGCCCCGTCGGGACCCCCCCTCAGCCTCCAGCCTTGCCCTGGAGCCGCTGCTCCCGTTCCCACCCATCCTCCTCCTCCTCCTCCGAGCCCACAGTGGCTCCGGCCCAGGGCAGAACAATGTGGCCGGGCCGAGGCTCTGTGCAGCCCCCGTTTCTCAGCCAAACGTCGGCCAAGTGGGAAATCCGGGGCAGAATAACCCAATTTCTGTGCTCACAAGGAGCTTTCTGTCCCGGCCAAGCAAGGTGGCGGGGACAGAGCTGCCCGCCCCGGGGCTCGGTGGCACAACGGGCAGATGGCGGCGCCGGGGGAGGCAGGTAGGGAGGCCCCGGTGGGGACGGGGTGAGGACAGGAGGCCGGGGTTGTCCCCTCACCTCATCCTAATGGGGTGTGGGTGAAGGTGTGGTGTGAGGGTGTCTGGATCTGGTGGGTTTCTGACCCACAGCCGTCCTAGAGAAATTAGGGTTGGAGAACGGAGCCAGTGGGGTGGCCAGACTGCTTGTGGGGTGGCCGGACTGCTTGTGGGGTGATGTTTGGCCCCATAGGATTGACTGTGAGGTGATGTTCAGCCCCATAGGACTGCCTGTGGGGTGATGCTTGGCCCCATAAGATTGACTGTGAGGTGATGCTTGGCCCCATAGGACTGCCTGTGGGGTGATGCTCGGCCCCATAAGACAGACTGTGGGGTGATGCTTGGCCCCATAGGATTGATTGTGAGGTGATGTTCAGCCCCATAGGACTGCCTGTGGGGTGATGCTCGGCCCCATAGGACTGCCCTTGGGGTGATGCTTGGCCCCGTAGGATTGACTGTGGGGTGATGCTTGGCCCCATAGGACTGCCTGTGGGGTGATGCTCGGCCCCACAGTCTGTTTGCAGCTCCACAGGACGATGCTCAGGCCTAGCACTGACCCACACCCTCAGGCAGGCGCCATCACTTGGCTCTAACCCTAAAGGCCTCCCCAGAGCCAGAAAGGGATCCCGTGTGTCCAGGCACCCCAAATCCCCCCACTTCATCCCCAATTCATAGCGGGAAGCACCCCGGCTCCCATCCCAACTCCCTCCACTAGGCTTCGCTGCCTTCCTTGGGGGGGGGGGGAAGACGCGAAGGCGAGGCGGGGAGCAGGCGCCTGCGTCCCCAACCTGCTGAGGCTCGTCCTCTTCCAGCAGGACTTTCTGGTTCCCAGAGGCCCTGGCGGGGCCACGCTGGGCTGGGCTGGGCCACCACGAGCCCCGCCACGAGCCGGGCTCGGAGCCTGGCAGCTCGGCCGGACCGCGGCCGGGTGCTGGGCATGGACCCGCGGGGGTCTCCCAGCCGCAGCCCCCCGGGGCCTGGCACCCGCTGGGCACCGATGCTGCAGGGGCAGAGGTGAGCTGGCTCTGTCCTCGCCGTCGGAGAGGTAAATGTCACTCGTTGGGGACACCCGTGATGGGTCCCGGGGACTGAACGGCTCTTGAGGCATCGCTCTACCCCCGGTGTTTCCAGCAAGAGCTGCAAAAAGAGCTGCGAGGGATGGGGAGGAGGGGAAGGGGGGGGCGGCTGAGCGCTTTCTCCTCTATTTTTGGGGCCAGCACGGAGGGACGGGACAGGACGGGGTCCCCGGGGCTCGAGGCAGGTGCATCCGGACACCCCCAGTGCTGAGGATTTGCCGTGCGAGGGGCCCGGCGCCGCCGTCGTTGGGGCTGCGGTGGCAGGGGGGGAAGCTCTCGCCCACATCTGAGGCCGTGCACAGCTCGA